CAAATAGGGAGTTTGCAAACAAAAGATTTGCCTTGTAAAACCACAATTACACAAGCTCACTCAAGATGGTGCACTCAGTACAGGTGATTACAGCTCAGAGCCCATGCTGCACTGCTAGCTGATTTTCATTGGAGTGAGGAGCTGAAATCACAGAGCAGATGAGGTTCAAAGAGACCTCTGGAGACTAAGCAGTCCAACATTCCTGCAGGCAGGGTCAGCTACAGCAGCTTGGTCTTAACCTGTATTCAACTGGGATTTATATCTCTAAGGAGATCTCCACAGTCTCTGGGTCACTGTTTTACCTTCCTCACAGATAAAAAAGTTCTTTAGATTTTGAGGTGGAATCCCCTGTGATCAAGGTGGTGTCCATTGCCTTTCGTCTGGCCACTGAGCACCACTAAGGAAAGTCTGGCTCCTTCTTTTTTGCCCAACCCACATCAGGCATTTTTAGATGGAGAGATACACAAGATCCCTTCTCCAGGCTGAAGACTCTCAGCTCTTCCAGAGGCTTCCTACAATAGATGCTCCAGTCCCTCAATCACCTTTGTGGCCCTTCACTGGTTTCACTCCAGTTCATCCACATTCCTTTCACACTAGCTCGCTCAGATCTGAACTCAGCACTCAGTGTGTGTCTGACCAGTGAAGAGGAGAAGGATCACCACCCCAGCTCGCTGACAGCACTCCTCCTCTTGCCAGGATACTGTTGGCTTTTTTTTCTGCAAGGGTCCACTGCTGGCTCATCCATGCAGGCATGGATTTCTAGGTATCACACAAGCAATATCTGTGATGGCTGGGCATAGTTTCTCAATTCAAAATAATTTTTCAATAACATATTCAGACTCATTTGCTTGAGACACCAAACTTTCTATATACACACTTAAAACATTGACTCATTTGGCCTGTCTGAAACTAATGGTTCATTACATCAGCAGGTTCTGAGTATACTGCATCCTCTCTGCCTTCAGAGAAAAAACCAGCAACAGCCTGAGCATGCCAAGAGGCATTGATCTGAGGAAATACACTAAAAGATGCCTTTGATTAGCCCAGTACTGTGGGTTTCCATTTTAACCAAGCACAGATTGCAACCTGCAGAAAAAAAGTTGTGAAAACTGACAGTAAAACCAGTAAGCCAAAAGTCAGAAAGAGAGAGGGGAAACAAAGGGGTTTTGCAGAAAACAGCAGCTGGAAGTAATGCAATGCTCAAAAACAAAGGCATGAAATAGAAGAAATGCTGGATGAACAAGAAGTACAGAACAAACAATGAAGGTGTTCCAGAAAACTCAGATGAATCCCCCAAGCTAATGCAAGTACAAGGTATAAAGCAAATTATCAGATGCAAGAATTGCAAAGGCAATTGTAGAGTATTTAACAGCACATTTTCTTTAAAATAAAAGAAAAAAGCAAGTGAACAAATTACACAAAATAAAAGCACAAGAACAGTTTCCAATTACTTTTTCTGACTGATATAATAAAATTTGAGTGATGAAAAATGTGACATGAGGGGTGTAACGTGAGATATATTTGTTTTACACTTATGTATATTTGCAAAATGAACACATGAGACTTTTATCTTTTCTTAATAGCCCATTGTGCTGATAATTGATTCCCAGGTCCCTAACCCACTGTGGTCCTGTAACAAATGGTGATAGCAGTTAATATCTTAGCTCTGCTGGCACTGTCATTACCACTGCCATTATGTCTGCAAGGTCTTTATGCATCCCTACAATACTTATATTCCTTTATAATCTTCAAGTACAGTTTTAGACTGCATCATCTGCCAAAATCAGGTTCTGGGGCTCCTTATAGATCTCCTCATATGAGCTCTATGTATGAATGAGCCAGTTAACTCAAAGGTAAAGTGGTATCTTTTAAGGAGATTTGAGTGGAGATGCATTGCTATTTCTCACTGTCAGCCTGAAAAGAGCTTAGTGTTGGTATCAAGGATACAAATAAGATGCAAAGTGGTTTTCATTGACAGCAAAAAGCTAAACCTGTGTGGCTCACGTTTAAAATGCAAAGCACATTTTAGAGTGCACTGGGTACTTAAAAATAAAAGAAAAAAAGAAGAAAAATATCATTTTCCCAGGGCATGTTACACAAATTTAGTCTAGAATAATGCTACATGTCAGAGACAGCCATGCTTTTGCAGCTGAATTTTAATGCTGCCTTTTCTTTCTTCTGTCTCACCCTACCAGGGGCCATTCTCCTTTGAAAACTACTTCTCTCTTACAGATTGCTGCTGCTACCTTGTCACACCCCCTCCTGCCTCCATCTGCCACTGCCTCCTCATGGGCCATCACTTCTCACTGACTTCAGCCTGGGGAAGAGGAAAAAAACCCCAAAGGAGCTCTGCTTTGCATCCTACCTCTAATAATGCCATAGCTCTCCAGACACAAACAGGGATACGTGTACATCTAAAAGATTGCCTCCAAATAAAATGAGTCAGACACAGCTCAGGATTACTCTCTCTGCACAGATGAAGGAGGGTGAAAAAGCAAGATTTCCTTCTGGTTCTCCTGCAGATCCCAGATGCCATGGCAGGGAACAAAAAGGCTGCTGCAGTTTTCAATGGCCCTCTGTCAGAGCTGGCGCCCTGCCAGCCTGTGCCAGACACCGGCTGCTGAGCCCACCGGGCTGTGGGGCTGGGCAGAAAGGCCCAAGGAAACTGAGAATGAAGAAAAGGCCTTCAGGGCTGGAGAGACAAGGAGAGAGACAGACAGCAGAGAAACAGATATTCAGGGCAGTGGGTCAGGGGCAAAGTGGAGAAAGGGAAAGAAGGGCAAGATCTGGAAGTACTGCTATGCACTTTCTCCCAGTGCAGGCTCCCCAGCCCTTCCATTCATTTCCCATACCTCACTTTTAACTCCTTAAAGGACTGTTTTACAGCAGTCATAGTGACTTCCTTTTGGGTTGCATTTCGCTGATGAAATTCCTCAAAACTTTCGCTTCCTCCAGATCCCACTTTGCTTCTCAGTCTCTGCTCTGTAGCAGCATCACAAGGGAGAAAACTTCCTCTCGTTCCTGGAAGTTTTCAGTGACTGAAAATATCATACATGGAACTATGGAGGGGAGCAAAACAAAAAAAAAAAAATTACCAGGCAAACACTAACTTTGTTAGAACTGTCTTTTCTCAAAATGCAGCAAGACATGTCCTGAAGAAAACTATCCCTCACATACTCCAATTTACAGACAAAACTGTCAGCTCACTGGACTGCTGTCCAGACAGGGCTCTGAAAAACATATGTGTTCTGAAAACACATATGTTCCCTGGAAAACACAAGAAAACTTAAAAAGAAAGCAAGTTAATAGTCCTAACACACTTTTATTACACCTTCTGACAAAAACTTCAAATCATTCAGACCAGAATTTATTTGCAAGTAACTAAAAAGGCATTCAAATCCAGAGCTTCAGCATGCTATGCTCTCTCTCCCTTTTCCAGTTTTATCCCTGCTGCTGTGCCTGCCCAGCAGACTCCTAGCATGCTCCCACGGCCAAGGCTGCCCTGGAACACCGCGTACTCCTGCAGGCATCACCGTCATCTCATTTAGGGCACGGAACGCTGGGGCCATGCTCTGCACCAGGGAGGCATTTCTGGAGCCAGGCAGAGGCAGCAGCAGGCATTTTGTCACCCTGGAAAGTCGAGGCTGTCCTGCTCTGACAGCCACTCCCTCCCCTTTTAAGTTGCCGTGTGCGTGTAACCACAGCAGCACAAATGTCCTTCCTCAGGTTTCTAACCAGAACCAGAGGCAGAGGCACAGCCATGCACCCTGTTCCTCCATCCCAGCTGCCCATCTCCAGCAGAAAGGGGGGAGCACCCTGCTGGATGGGAGCACCATGAGTAGGCAGGCTCAGTTTCCAAAGGTTTGCTTCTCAATAAGTGTGCCATTTACCCGCTCCCTTTGCTGAGGCAGCAGAACGTGGGACGTGCACTTACAGAGGCCCCAGCTCACTTCTGAAGGAGGGTGAACAACCACCAATAAATCAAGCTGAACAAGCACCAAGACATCAGATTGTAAACTGAACCAGCTGAGCTGGGGCACCTTTTTGTACTCCTTACAAACCTCTGTCCTGGAAGCAGACCAACAGACAGAGAAAACTAAACTCTTACAATACAACATCAGAATCAAAACAACACACACAAGAAAAATGTAAGAATTACAGCTCAACAATCATCCTTCTCTCTTCCCATTGCAAAATAGGTCCAGGATGGCTGCAGTAGAACAAGAGATAAATTGCAAGAAAAATATGAGGACACATGCTTCACCCTCAAGACTATTTTCTCATCAGTACATAGTATTTCAATTCCATTTAAGATTCTTGTTTTTATGGTACCAGATCATTTGATTAATCTGAAATTAGTCTAAAATAACTTCTTCTGAAATACTTTTCAATGTAATGCTTTACCTCTTGATTAAACATTGTTCAGCAAAGAACTTGATAATGTGGCATCATTGAGCGTGCTGTACTAGAAATCTGGTTAAAATAATCAAGGGGTTTTTTTTTATTATGTCATTTTCAGAAAACTTGAAAGGATCCCAAAGTCAAAACTTAAAGTAGGATTGTTGAGTAGGCCTGTTCTTGTCCACCAAATGCAAAATAAGACACCTGCATAGAAACCATGTTTTTCTGGCTGCACGACCCCAGAAAACTGCTCCTTCCCATTTCCCCCAGGCTGCTCACACTCCACAAGCAAGACACAGGTATTCCACAGGATCTTTCCTCTTCTCTTGTTCTGGGTGTTATGCTTTGCTCCTTGAGGAGACACCTTTGCTGGCTGAATTACCTGATTCCTGCTGGAAGGGATGTGTTACATTTTTGCCCCAAGACTGGGCCGGCAGTGACTGAGAGAGGAGCCCATGCTGTGACCCACTGCTGGAGAACAGCGCTCATCACTCACAGGCAGAGTAAGGACAAACAAAGGGCTGATTGTACAGCATCTCCCATCTGCCCTCCCTCCCTCCTCTCATCCCAGCTCTAGCTCTCTCTGGGCACATCTCAAAGGATACAGCTGCCAAGAACATGGAAGGGAGTGAACCAGAAGATTAAGGTACGTTTTGCTCCTGAAATTATCCTTGTCTACCTGCTCCTTCCAGTTACAGATTACAGAATTAGAAATACATATGGGAATATGCAGAAGAAGATTTGGGAGAAGCTGTTATATTGCAGGCAGCAGGTACCATTCATGACAGTTGCATGGCTGGGATCCAGATCAAAATAATTCTTTTACTATCTTGTTTTTCTTCAAGGTTGGATACTCCATACGAACATCTGAAGTCACTAAATATACTATATTGCCTCCCAGTGTTCAATATAATATGGAGAGAGGTGTCTTCACAATGAATTGCTGTCTTAAAGAAAACTAACTGAGGTTTCATGAGAACCAGTTTCTGGAAAGAATCATGGTATTGATGACAATTACAAAGCAGTAATTCACGGAATTCGTTCTCAGTGGAATAGCTTCTGTCCTTACAGGGCACCAACTGTTCAAGCAAAATAGATGTAACAATTTTTTTTAATGGAAAAAAATTCTTCACAATATTAGCAATTATGCAGTTCTTGTGTAATGATTTTTTAGTAATGCACTAATAAACCTAACTATCAAGCACTAACACCTAAATACTAAATACTCGGCATTTTACAGGTGCTTGTGAAAGGCAAACTTGACAAATAAATAAACACTAAAATACATTTCATTTTGAATAAGTGAAACAATTTATATATATATATATATATGCTTTTGAAGTGCAACTTGTTAACCTGGCACACGCCACTGGACAAACTGGAAAAGAACATACACCAAAAGTGTACACATTAATGTATTTCTTGTTTTCAACATTAGGCAACTAGAAATACAACCTATTTAAGGGGAAAAGAAGGATATATTTAACGAAGGATTGATATTTTTAATGATTGATAGACCAACCTAAAAATATTTCTGTTTTCCCAACCACGCAGGATCTCTAGAACTGCCGAAATACACATTTTGTACCATTTCTCAGTTTTCTCTTTTTCTAACACCTGAGCTCCTAGTGATACTGTGTGACCTTTAAAGGACATCACTTCTCATGAACTATTACCCTGCTGTTCTTGGACAAGGAGGCTGAGACTTGGGGTTTTCTCTTCAGTGTGATTACCTCTGCATCTAGCGGATCCAAGTATTAGATGGTGCCAAATTGCCTGGCAAGATCATTCAAACACTCTCAGCTGAACAAGCGGAGACAGCACTAATTCCTGACTCATCATGCATATTCCCAAACTAACCATTTTCCTTTAGGAAAAGCTCCAAAATATTTCAAAGCACTTGTATTCCCAGGTGCATTTGGTGTTAAATCTCACTTACACCGCTTCAAAATAATCAAAATAATTAAATGAAAAGAATTTTTGCAAATGAAAGGAGCTTATTTTCGGTATTTTTATATGGCTCTACTCCTGCTAGAATTTGAAATGATAAAATCTTGATAGAGCAAGCTGGTCAGGCTTAGCATGCCTGGCATTGTTATCTTTTCAGAAGGCTTTATAAAATAAAGGACTGTAAGAGCATTCTTGCTGGCAATGAACGAGTCTCTGAGCCACATTAGTGATTGGATTTGTTCATTGAATTTTCCTGACTTGTTTTATGAGAAAAGCCTATCTTCTGTGCTATGCAACAGCAGACAATGCCTTTGACGGTCATTTTGAAATAAACATGCACATACTAGCTCTGTTCTTCACCCAGGCAATCAGTGACACTCCAACATCTGTTCAGCAGCACTCGGGAAAAGAAGTTGCAGCAGTGTGTCAGAGAGAGATGCTGCATCTGAAAGGTCTGCATCGATCCTGTGCAGGGAGCTGATGGAACACTGCAGCTCCTTGGCAATCCTTCATCTGCAAATAGGGACTGCGTTCCCCCAGGAAAGAAATACCCGTTTGAAGAAAGGCCTTTTCACAAAAAGTTTCTATTTTGTTATGATCTACAAAAAAAAAAACAAAAAAAAAACAAAAAAAAAACCAACAACAACAAAAAAAAAAAAAACCCAGAGGAAATATTTAAGCAGAAACAAAATTATATTTTTTTTTTCTGAATAATAACAATGTTTATCATTGGTAACATGCATAACTGGTCACAGGAGCTGTCTATCCATAGCTGTCCTGCATGTTGACTTTGCTAATACTGATTTTGGCACCCACCCATAAAAACCCTTCCGATGACACACTACAGCAATATCCCATTATTCTTATTAAATGGCAAGTAGTGAGTTACAGAATCACCTTAAAAACTGTAAGCCATGATTTTTGAGTCTTGCAATTTGACAGAGTACAGAGAATGCACCTATTTTCAGGATGAATGTGCCTATTTTTCAGGAAGTGGATTCCTGCAAATTTTGAGGAGGTAGGCAGCTGGCAACAGAGTCAAATGAGCATTTCAGTTGAACTCCAGGTAGGGAAAGATCACCTGAATTATTAGAAATTAAAAAAAATTCACAAGAGCAAGGTATCATGAATACCTCATCCTCAGTAGAAGAGCACAGAATAATCCCATCACAGGAAGCAAAGGCATAAACCCCCTGCTTCCTAATTTTCTCTTTCATGGAAATTTTCTTCCATTTAATACTTAAATAATGAAGCCAAACTATTTGAACAGAAGATTAAATTTTACTCCCTGACACTGGCATTTATCTAGGTATAGTATCAATAATTTTTTTCTCTTTAAGCATTAGACTTCTCTGAGCAGAGCCCTCATAACTAAAGTGTTTATACTCCTACAAAATAAACCCATGAATATAATAATACAGATTCTACACTCAAGTCTAAAAAACACCAGGCAATGTTTACTTTATTTGAGTAGTAGTTTTGAGGTCTAAAACTAATAAAGACAATATGTTATTCAATACTGCACTCTGAGGTAATTAAAAATAGATCCCCAAGGCTCCATAACTAGTAGTTTATAGGAGTCTTCTACTAAGAGTTCCCGTACAAGTTCATGAAAACTAAAAGGAATTATTCAATGAATTTTGCTTCTACAACAGAAGCCAAAAAAAGCCCCAGAAGAGCTTATTCTCACTTCACTCATGTTCTTTAATATATTGGCCACTTTTTAATGCTTTATTTCGCTACTGATGTTCAAAAAAACCCAAGTTTAAATATAAAAATAAATAACCAAAAAGCTTTGAGTTTTTGCATTTTATCCATAATATGAATCTCAATTTCCAGATTTTCTTACATTTTATTCATTGGCTGAAGAAATGGAAGATAAGATAGCTATAGTGGCAAGAAAACTACCTGAGAAAAATGATTTAAAAATACAGTAGATTTATATATTTAAAATTTTACTGTTTGTTTTTCAAGGGTGACCTCAAGATTTTTTACAAAGTAATTCATGTTATAGTCACATCTACAGCTGGCATTTTTTTCCTTATCTAGATAATAGCTCTACCATCTTAACTTCACCTTTGATAGTCTTTGATTAGATATTGTCTTACACTTTGATAGTCTTTGATTAGATATTGTCTTATACCTTGTTATTTTTGGGTTAGTCCATTCTAATCTTCACTCCACAATGAAGACCGGGGCTGGCCCATAACATCGTGTCAGGGCACCAGTTCCAGAGTGCCAACAAGATGAAGGACAGCAAAGTCTTCCTTAAGTCTTACACAAGAAAAATGAGTATACAGGGAGAGTGCTGGGCAGAGCTGGTCATGCTTTATTTTAATTTTCTGAGCAGAATTCCTGTTTAAATTCAGTTAAGATAACAGATCCATTTTGTTTGAGAATAAGGAAAGGTAAAAAACTCACTCTCTTAATATCAATAAAAATTCAGCTGAAATATTGTTCAAAAGCCTATTTTGAAAGTGAATGCAAGTTCAAGGATCCAAAGCTTTGTGGCATGGTCAGACTGTGCAGAGCAGCACAGAACAGCAGACCCCACATTAAACAAAACATTGGGAAGCCTAGTGGCCAGCAGGAGAGTTTTGCAAGGGATAATTTATCCCACCTTTTAAAAAGCCAGTTAAACCACAATGACCTCCAGTAGCAAGACTCAACTAAGCAGTCTGCAGTACTAAAGAAACCCAATAAGGAAGATTCTCCCTAGTGCTGTATGATACCAGAGGCCAGGACAGCAGCACGCGGCAGCACTGCAGACACTGCTTAATGCCTCAGCTTCTCACACAGCCCATGACACAGGATTCAATCTGAAAACAGTTTTTCCACAACTCTGATGGGGAAGGATGCTATTTATTTTATGTGAGCGACTCTTGTTTTGACAGGCAAAGTGGCCAGGGAGGCAAGGACACACACCCAGATATTTCCCCCTGGTTTGGCAGCAATCGATACAATCACTTACATCGCCAAAAAAAACCACGGCCAGCTCAAAGCAATTTTCTCAAGGTGAGAGGCCAAAGAAACAACAAAATTGCTAGCATCAGAAGCTTCAATTGGCAATGAAAGGATTCCCAAGGTTGTACAGAAAGTAATGAATATCAATTCTGCTGCAATATTATTTACCTCCTAGGAGAGAACACTCTCCAGCACTCAGGCTCAAATGACCGAAACTTCACAGGAAAGAGAAACGCAAGGCAGGAAGCAAATGAGGGAAAGAGCCCTGCTCAGCAGCAATAGCGTGTCACATACCTGTTTCTCTTTAGCACCCTGCTGTGGGAAGCCTGGCAAACATGAAGATGCTCTGGGTGCTGCTGGTGCTGAGCTCGGTGCCGGGTGCCCCCGCGGTGCCTGCCCAGCGCCACTCGTGCCACAAGCGGCCCCTCCGGGAGCACAGCTGCCACAGCGTCCCCGCGGGCACGGACAGCCTCCGGCACGTCCACGATGCTCTGCCACACCACTTCTGGGAAGGGAAGGGCTGCCAGGTCATCTGCTACTGCAACCTGAATGAACTGCTCTGCTGCCCCAAGTAAGACCACGCTCATTTCATGTCAACTCACATAGTTCTTCACAACTGCGCGTTATATTTCCAGCATTTTTATTTCCATCAGTTTCCATACACAGAATAGGCTATCATTTTAAAGCAATTCCTCACTTCAAATGGTTTGAAATGATATCAAGATATAGCCAATTTTCTGTTACTGTCAGTTTTGAGGATTTGTTTTTCAGGTGCTCACCTAGGACTTGCTTAGCATATTTTGTAAACCTCCCTGTCCTATTAACAGGGACCTCAGCATTTGAATCACCCAACTTTTGACTCCTCTGTTTGATCCAGACTAAGAATAACTACATCAAACACTTATTCTGAGCATTTTACAACAAAGAAGTTTTCAGGACCACAAAAATATCCTATTTGGTTCCTGTTCCATGGAAGAGAACTGTGCTGCTATTCTAAACTGCATGCACATATGTCAGCTGAACAAGTAATTCTGTAAAAATAGCTGTTAAAGCAGAAAAAACAAAAGAGGGGCACAGGGGTTCACATATACTTGTATAAGGCAAAGCAAAGATTGAGCCCAAGAACACCAACACCTCCCTGGCCTCCTTGCACTGCTGACAAAGTTGAACAGTGAAGTTCTCACTGAACATTGGTTTTTGTTGTTGTCATATAGAAAGAACATAGCTGAGTTAAAGAAACACCATCAGCCCATACTGGTTTTAGGTAATAAAATGTATTAAGAGGTATTATTTCATTCAGCTCTTCAGCAACATCTTTTCTTCAGTAAAATTGGATTAGAAATATCAACAGTTCAAAACTTACTAATACTTCAGAGGCACCAAATTGTGATGGCATTATATATGCAAGCAAAAATTATTTTTTTATATATGCTCCTCTTAATACTCATTTCTCAAGTCCTCTAAAATCCAATAAGGACAACTTTTTAGCACTCCTGTAGGGTACTCAAGTTGAATCAAACGGGAAAGACTTCTAAAGCGAAAAACTTCACACTGAGAGCAGGGTTTAAGTAAGATTTTCATCTTTCACTTTCCCTAAAACCAGATATGGTGACCTCACTCTGAATCACACTTTGTGTCTCTAGCTTCAACCCTTGAGCAGCATAGTAAAGCCTCTTCCATTGATAAAAATATGGAAGAAAATATTCCTTCCATCACCCTGAGGTACACAGGACCTGCTTTGCATCTGTGTTTTCAGGACAAACTGCACTAAAACAGTATGTGTGCACATGCCAAGTCCTTTATTTTGATAATATAACCTACTCGGTAAGTTTATTTTCTCAAAGTTAAAATACCAGGGTGGAGCTCTGCCACCCATTCAGCCAATGAAGGTTTGGCCATTGCTCCCACAGCAGGCTGGCAGAGGTAGAAATGCAGGATCTTCATCCAGACCTGCAGTTGCATTTGCATTGCTGGAAGGACATCCCACAAACACAGTAATCCCACATACATCATGATACATGCTAAAAAATATCCACAGTGGGAAATACATGCCATATTAAAGCTCTAATAAACCAGTGATCTAATTGTTTAAATATGTGATCCTATCTTTCAGGGATATTTTCTTTGGACCAAAGATATCTTTTGTGATCCCCTGCAACAGTCAATGATTCGAGTCTGCAAGTGAAGATAACAGACATCACTCTACGATCATGTAATAATGTTTTCAAGGGTAAAACAAAACTACACCAACAAAAAAACTTCCTTTCTAATCACAAGCCATTGCCTCATTTTATACTGTAAAAAGAATTTCTTTTCTATACCTTTATAGAATATCAAATTCCTAAGAAGTTTTCTTTTCAAATCTGGTAGCTGACCTAATTTCAATAAAGCCATTTCCATGGTTTAACAGATTGTACAAGCTCTTAATGTGTCCTAATATTGCATACCCCAGCAAAAAGCATAACTCTTCTTACTCAGCACAATATCCTTAGTCTGGACAAAGAAACTTCAAGCCTAAGCCTTCATGTTGTTAGGAACATGACTCTCAGAGCAACTTATGGCAGTGCAGCTTCCTATTCCATTATTGCCATCACACTTTTAATGCCATTTTAGGCTGAAGCCACTCAATCCCTGGCACTTCTGAAGTAAAGCTCCCACGTTCTGTTTAGGCATCTTAAAATACATGCACATACAAAAGGCCTGTATTTCCATATTTGAAAGTATTTCACTGGAATTTAAAAAAAAAAAAGAGTAAAAATTGACATTAACAGTACTAAAGCACACTTGGGTCTTGTGTCTACCTGGTCACCTGCCTTGACTGTGCAATCTCTAAACTCTTAAATTGCTTAATCTTAGCAGTGAATGTTTAAAAATATTAGAACAACAGATTTTTTCATTCAAGCTCTGTTTGGAATACAGTACTCCAAAGTAAGTTAAAATGCTGGCGTTTTTAGGCTAGCCCTGTAAGGCAATAGCTACAGAAAGCACAGAGATAATCATCTTAATATTTAAAAGGTATTGTGATCTATGAGATAGATACAGAGAGATAAATTTTGACCATTATATGGCAATCTGTATTGGCATGTGTTGAGGGGTGACCACATAATTTTAAGCAGTCACCTGAACAAGCCAGGCTTACAGGTAGCAAGCCTGACTCGCTGCTTTACACATATAAACACACATATATTTTAGCCATCAAGCCGGTCCAATGGAAAGTGTGCAGCACTGAAGGAACTGTGCAGTCATCGCTACTGAAAAAATGCACTTGCAGTGCTCACCCAATACCCTTACACCTTGGCCCAAACTCCCACCACCAGCTTACCATGCTTCCTTCATGTGTCAGTATGAAATATCAACATGACTGTTTTTCTTGTTAGTAAACAAGGGTTGGATACTGGGGGAGGGTGTGATTACACACAGCCAATAATAAATGTTTCAAGTAAATCTGTGTGTACTATTTATGCCCTACTGACTGTTTAACAGTTTGTCACCAGGCTTTTTAAGCCTCATTTGTGTAATTATTCAAGCAGAATAATTTGGGCTTCCTACCAGACAATCTATTGACAGTAAAATAAACCCCATAACTCTGGCAACCCAGTGAAAATATCCAAAGTTAGTGCTCTGCAAAAAAAAAAACCAAACTATGGTATGTGCTCTTGTATAAAGTCCTCTACAAGCTTCTAGGGTAGGTAAATTTCTGTTGTTTGTGCCATCTAGTTTCTACAAGAATCATGTTGCATATGCCTGGCATTCACAGCTTTATAAAACAGGTGTAGCAAAAAAAAGTTAAGGCAGACACAAGACTGGGTACTAAAGTTGGTGGCTTTCAGTTAAAATTTCTTCCAAGACTCCTGGAAAATCCACAATCCACAACTTTGCCACTTTCCACATGCAGCAAGATAGAGTCACTTAAGTTACTACTTTAAAACTGACAAATAGAAACTTGCTTTTGTTTCTTTTCCCTACTCTCCTTCCCTCACACAACTTCATCTACAGGTCCTGCCAGGCCTAGGTGAGAACATTCAACCCTGTCATGCACTCAGAACAAAACTCTTTATCCTTTGGATGTCCTACCCACGACTAGGTTCCCTGCTTTTTACGCAATTTGCACTTTGAAGGTAAGAAGCCCGATTGTGTGCAAAGGACATTTAGTAAACAAATTGACAGTCCCTATAGTGAAATGGCCATGAAAACATATCTTCAAAGAAGCAGCAATTTTAGCTGTCACTAGCTAGATATCACTGTCCTGAACCTAGGCCAGCACTGCAGAACTGTATTGTGGAAATAGATAAAGCAGTACAAGTGAAAGAAATCATACCATTGGGAAAGCAGCCAGTCTGAGGTTAAGGTTTATCAGCATTCAGTTCTATGCAAGCCTCACAGGTCAAAAAAAGCAAAGTGAAGCATCTTAGTTGTAGTGATGCCCGCAGAGTAGTAATTTTCAAAAAAACTCAAAAGATTAACATCAAGCAGATTAGATCACAGACATACTGCTTTCTGATTATTCCCAAATTAAGGAAAAGCTTATAAACATCTGATAAGGTTGGGAGTTGCAATGAATGCTAACTGGACCAGCTGAAGCCATGTCCTCCTCAGTTTTAAGAAGAAAACTATTTTCCCTCAGCTGTTTATTCATCCTACATGCACAGCTTTAAGCAGAAAGAAATCATTTTCCATACACCACACATTTAGATTGACAAAATAGTTGCAATATGAGAAGTCATTCATAATACCATCTTCAACATCAGAGATTTCTAAGACAATCAATTAAAAGCCTAAGTATTGCTGGATATTATTCTCCCTAAGCTACCATGGGTTCTGGGTTTATTGAGAGGGGGTTATTCCTTTTAGACAGGCCTGAGCTAATCCATGCAATGGAAAAGAAGCAGTGTGCCTGTTAGAAGAGGCTGTATTGACCCCACACAGGCTCAACTCTCATTCTCCAATTAAGTTCTTAGCAGCAGTCCATGCAGACAAATGGAGAAGTCAGCAGGTAAAGGATTTCTTACTGAGTCAAAGGATTTCTCAGCACAGCAAGCTGCAGCAGACTCTTCATCTGTACTTACAGCTTTGAAATTCAAGAGCTGCATTTTTTTCCATTTTAATATAGGAGCAGGAAGGCCTCAGTGCTTGGAAGCATGTATCTCAGCAATGACACAATGAATAAACAACTCAGAAAATCCTTCAATAGCTGTTTCCAAAGGGGGAAAAAATTGTTACTCAGCCATTTCTGCCCAGCTAAGAACAGAACTGGCACTTAAAACCTCTTACCTTAGGAAAAAGAACCTATTGCCAAGTCTGCTACAGTTTTTTTTTTTAAAGGCATTGCATCATAAGCACTTGAGGCACACTTACAAATATATCCTTGGCACGATTCAATTGAAAAATATTTTAATATTATTACATAGTTCATTAAAGCTTAACTATTAGGTACAAGTATCATAGAATCACAGAATATGCTGAGCTGGATGGGACCTGTCAGGATCGAGTCCAACTCATTAAAATTACAGACACACCCATTTGAGCAACAATATCAGTGATATTTATTTAAAATACTTTTGCTGAGGAAATTTGTTTCATAAGAGATGGTTTTCAAACAAATCAACAAGGTTATGAAAAATAAACCAGACAAACTCTCTCAGGAGAAAAAGTTACAAAGAAAGCTTTTGCATATCAACAAAACCTCAGTCTTTTCATTTGCAGCCTGAGTCTCAGTCCCAACCTTTTCTGCCTAATGAATCCCACTATCCATCTTTAGATCTGGTTTGTTCTTGTCATTCTTCACTGAGTAGATGAAGTATGTTAAGGTGTCCTTTTCATTCACTGGAATTGTCCTAAAGTGGCAGCCAATTATCTATAAAGGAAGAATGCAAGGAAATTAAATAATCACTCTTACATGCAAAAACTGAAGATTCATATTTAAATGTACTACATTCAAGTTTAAAAGACTGATTAAGAAGTTTACAAAAAAGGAAATTCTGCCTCTCTTCAGAAGTCTTTGGTAGTCATAAAAGGTAAACAGGAACTATTTTACTGATAACTGTGAACTAAATGTAGGAGATTGTACCCCTAAATTTTCAAAGTAAAAAGCTGAGAATTTTTTCAGGGAAAAAAACCCCTCAAAGCTATCAGAACAATCAGGGGACTACCATTACATTTGTTTAGTTAGAGCTTGAATATAACAGGTAATGACTACAGAATATCAATAGTGACAGTACAATTATGAGAGGCTACTGCTGTCCACTCAACTTGGGAGGTGGTGTCTGCATCAAATCACATACAGCAACATTTAACACAACACAAGAATTACCAGAAATTTATAACTGAACATTCAGCTCTTCAAAACAAAACTATTAATGAAAATTCACCATGCTGTAACCATTGAAATATAACAATCCGTAAGCAGTTCTTGAATCACTTGTCATTTCAGCAGACTTTCCCTTCATCAAAATAAACACCAGCTTTAAAAGAAAGTTGCAAAATATTGTAACTGAATCTGTTCACTGGCTCTTTGCCAGACTGGTAGATTAAAAGGATGAAGTGAAAAACATGGGACTGCTCACTTAAGCACCACAGGATATGCGTGGGATAAATGGACAAATGTTCAGCCTAACTAAAAAATTAGGAAACTTTCTAAACTCTACCCCAAAAGTATTCACAGAGAAGCAGTTTGACACAGTAATTTGAAGTGAACTTTCAGTAACAGCTAGAGCAGTGTCCATGGTATGTTGGGACAGATTACAAGGAATCAAATGTACTGTGTATTAAGGAAGCTCTCTGGCTATGGCTCACAAATACCTGCAGGTCAGTGAAATCAAGCATGTGGCAGAACAGCTTTGCCCATGCACACCATGCAGCACTGGAATAACCCAGTGCAATTATCCTATGAGATGTACCTAAAGCAGACCCTGTGAAACACCAGTTGTGCAGAACAAAAACTGCCTGTGATTTTTCAATTCACAGTCCTAACTCAAGAGCTAACATAGATACAAAAAAATGGAAGACTGATTTTGCATTCTCACACTTAGTGGCAGCAGGGCTATTCCTTTACAGTTCAGCCTTGAGGTCACCCACACCTTTATGAGCCTTGTTTTTAATCCACACAGATTAAGGAGAGATGAAAACAGCGTCTGCACTTAAATACAGCTGAATGTATCACTGCACAAAAGTGAAAAATCAGTAGCTATACGTTCCTGTTAAGATCACCAGCCCTTCCACTTATTTACATCAATATGCTGTGACTGCACCTTTGCAGCACTAAGAATTCCTTTAAAATAGCACTCACGCCAAGCAAAGATGCTAACATACAGCTGTACTGACATGCAGCTTCAGCACTTTTGGAAACAGTAAATTCCATGTAATTCCAGTTTTCTGACAGCAGATTCCAGTGGTTTTACCAGAATTAATTATCAACAGAAGCATGTTTCTTCAGGCTTCTGTACTTTACACATACAGAAACCTACGTTTGCAGTAACTAGCTTTTTAAAGCAAAGTCTGAACCTCACCAGAACTTCACTGACAGCTCTAAGTTTCTAGTTCTTTCCAGCAGGACATTTCAGGTGAAGCTGTGATTGATGCACAGACAGAATAAATCTGTGATTCTATGACATTCAGGGGCATGAAGACCATCTTACTGCTCCAGCTCAACACTGTGTTTACAAGCAGCATATACTCCTTTTGGAAGTTGAGAGTCCCTCCTCTGGAAAGAGCTTTTACTTTTGATTTACTTGGCTCAGGAGCTGTGGCCAATGAAGGAAGCTAGATAAGCAGCTCCCTTTTGTTCTCCTAAAATCCAGATTATATAGGCACTTTATGCAAGGATCACAGTGCATAGAAAACCACATGCCACAGCAAGTTGCATTCTCTATTATGGGAAACACTCATACATACTTCAACAAGCTGTGCTTTGTTAAGTCCCGGTCTGGTCTGTAGCTTGAAGTGTCTTTTGTACCTTCGAAGTGTGTTCACTTGTAACTGATATAAATCAACCTAGAAGAAAAGAGGGGGAAGGGGAAGAAAACAATCTAATATAACTGAAAAAAATTCAGTCATTAACAGTTCGTCTCGCAAAAGCATTTTGGAAAATCACAGATACACAAGTGTAAACAGTCAGCTCAGCAGATGTCATTTTGACAAAAAACAAACCTTCCAGCAGAAA